TGGGGGGGGGGATGCTGTTTTCATTCACGCAGCATTGGCTTTTCCTGTTATGCTCACGGGAAATACTTTCAGTGTGACTTGGAGGTTACAGGACCCAATTGGTGCACATACAATGTAGAATAACTGTTTTCAGAGCGTAAACTTTTTGATTGTGCAGTGGGCCAGAATGGTATAGAGGAGACGTTTTGTGAAGGTATTATAGTACTATATTTAGTATTTAGTTGCTTGTAGCCTAATTCATCCTTGTGTTGAAGGACTCCACTTATATACTTCTTTTCTTTTCTTCCGTTTCTGTGTGGACATGATGATTGTGGTTAGTGGGTGCTCTGGTGTGGTTTGCTCTTTCTTTCTTATAAAACATCTATCGACCATATCTTTTCTCCTTTTCTCTGTATGTTACTCTCCAGTAACACCTCTTATCCCCGGCGCTTATTATTTGACCAGCTGGCGTTGCATGTGCCGTAAAACTCTTACTCAAACTAAAACTTTATTCTAACGCTAGTCTTCTGTTTGAAAAAAGGAGAAAGAAAGGGCAGTTTGTGTGTTCACCCTTACAATACAAACATCTCTTCTCTCGATTCTACCAACACAGTAGTATGTTTGTCTGTCTGTTTGTCTGTCTGTCTGTCTGTCTGTCTGTCTGTCTGTCTGTCTGTCTGTCAGTCAAGCCTTAATAATAAGAATAGCATTTAGATCATCATTGTCTCTGAAAACAGCTAAAAAATAGGCTAAAACAGCGCCTGGACATGGATGGCTGGTGCCTCTATAAATAAATCATTGATGGTCTGGTCTCTGAAAACGAGACAGCAAGCTAGATAATTATGCAACAATTGTCGTTGGTAAGTGTCAATTAGTTTGGGTTGAAAAGTAAAACCCTATCGGGATGTTGCACCAGAATTACATTTCTCACAAAAAGTAAAGATTTCTCGAGCAGAAACGAACAACCGTGAATAGACAAGGAAGTTTCAGTCCCGGAATTCTTTGTTTTGACTAGCTGTTGTTCCATATTTGGATCTATTCTATTATTATTATTATATTATTATTATTATTTTACACGTAGTCCTGACGTTGTTCAAGAAAATAAGAGCACTGTCCACCATGAAGATGAAAAACAGCGGTTAAAAAAAAAGGAAAATTAAAATAATATGATTATCTGCACTGCCTCCAAAGCGGAAACGATTTGGTTGTCGTTTGAAGGATTATGCCACACGACACCGGCGCGGTTTTCTATTCTGTCTGGAACCTGCTGCTGCCGCCCTCTCTCCTGTGTTTATTTTTAGCCCGAAGGCCAGCGGAACCGAATCAGCTTCTTTAGCAGTGGTAAACAGTAATTTTAACCGATTGGTTGTCTTTCTTCTGTAAACCGTAACTTTACCCGGTTTATTTATTTTCTTAAAAATATATTATTATGTTTACTTTTTGCTGTCTCTGTTTCCTGTTCAAATACAAAAATAATATCTTTAGTGAGTATGAAAGCACTAGATCTACCTCTACTCACCACCCCTCCACCCCTCAAAATGCTCCCTCCCCCCCCCCCCAAAAAAAAAAAGAAATATAAAAAAAAGATTAAAGAATAAAGAAAAAGAAAAGTCAACAGAAGGTGTGAATGGAATTTTAGCGTGTTTTATATTTCTGTAGTCTACTTGTTTTTTTATTTGTCTCTGTGTGCACCATCAGCGTCTGTAATGTAACGGTTAGACTCGTTGCCACAGCACGCGAAAGAAATATGTTCGTGGATGGTTGCCGGGTGCTCTGGTGTGGTCTGCTTAAATTCTTCTTTCCTGCCAAACATCTGTCGTCCTTATCTCTTCTCTTTCTTTTTTGTGTTTGCTACTCTCTTGTAAAACCTCTAATCTTCGGCACTTATACGACCTTATTGTGTTGCAAGTGCGGTAAAACATTTACTAAAACTATTTTTTTTTTAAAGAAGTATGTTCCATTCCCGCGTATCCCATTATTCTGCTGAAGTGTAAGTGCTGTAGATGACGGACGAGTGGTTGGACGGCGCCACTGGTAAGTCTTATTTCTTTTCTTTCCTCCTATTCTTTATGTGTGTAATAATAATAATAATAATAGATAGCATTTGTATAGCGCATATCCCCGCTCAGCAGCAGGCTCTATGCGCTTTACACTATATTATTACCCCAGCAGACCATAGAACACTCCGAAACATTCTTAGCTTCCCGGG